CACCAATGTTTGGGCAGTCTGGTCTCAGAAGCTCCTATCTCAAAAAAAAAAAAAAAAGAAAGAAAAGAAAAAGAAAAACAGAAAGCACTTTTTGAGTCTGGAACAAAAATCTCTCAACCACATTCAGTGGATAATAAATCTGCCCACTAGCCCTAGGTCTAACTTCCAGGACCACAGAAAACAAATACAAGCCATCACCTTCATCATGCCAACTTTTCACACCCTCTAATGGACAGCTATCGTATTTTCTTGAAATTTCTTTTTCTCTTTTTTGAGACAGGGTCTTGCTCTGTTGCCCAGGCTGGAACGCAGTGGTGTGATCACAGCTCACGGCAACCTCCACCTCCTGGGCTCAAGCGATTGTCACACCTCAGCCTCCCGAGTAACTGGGACTACATGTGTGCACCATCACGCCTGGCTAATTTTTTGAATTTTTTGTAGAGATGGGGTTTTACTATGTCACCCAGGCTGGTCTCGAACTCCTGGGCTCAAGGGATCCTCCCACCCTGGCTTCCCAAAGTGTTATGATTACAGGTGTGAGCCACTGCACCTGGCCTGAACAGAGAATAGATGTAACCTGTCTTAAGAGAGATTTTCTGTTTGTTTTTTCACTTGTTTATTTTGGAAATCATGAAAATCTGTTTAACCCATCAAAGCATGGCTAATAATATCCAATTGTTTGTGACTATGAATAATGATGACTATGTGAGAAACATAATCAGGACTACTTAGCATAGAGGTGCACGGGCAAGAATTAACCGTTTAGGGAATGCCCAAGCCTTTCTGTTAGTTTGTGTAACAGCATACGGGCTGTTACACAATGTTGCACTTACGCTTTAGTGGGGCCCCTCTGGCTCTACACTGAGAACAGACTCAAGTAGAGCAAGGGTGGGCATGAGAAGACCAGTTAGGAGGCTGTTCCAGAAATTCAGGCAAGAGATGCTGGTGCCTTGCAACTGGGTAATAGAGGTGGAGGTGATGAAAAGAAACGAGGTGGTGAGACTCTGGTCTGCTTCTAGTTTTCTGACACCTCTAGAGCAGGGCCAAGCAAGCTCTAGTCCACAGGCCAAATCTGGGCTACTGCCTGTTTCTGTAAGTGAAGTTTTACTGGAACACAGTTACGCTTGTTCATTTACATATGTTCTATGGCTGCTTTTGTGCTACAGAAGCAGAGATAAACAGTTCTAACCTCACAGCCTCCAAAGCCAAAAATATTTACTATCTGGCTCTTAACAGAAAGAGTTTGTCAATCCAGGTCTAGAAAACATCAATTGTCATTTATTGAGATGGAAACCTGGGAGAAGATAAAATGTGAGGAAACAGCAAAGCCTGATTTGGGGCATGCTAGCTGTGACATGCCTGTTAGACATCCAAGCAGAGATGTCAGGTAAAGCGCTGAATGTATCAGCCTGAGGTTCAAGGAGCAGGTCCAAGTTGGAGATAAAAGCTTAGGAATCATCAAATGAGGGTAATTAAAGCCAGGACACTCGATGACATCCGTAAGAGAATAAACCTGGATAGAAAGGACAAGAGGTTAAATATTGAGCCCTTGAATCCTAACATTTAGAAGTCAGGGAAATGAAAAGGAAGCAGGCAAAGAGTAGAGAAGGAACAGATAGAGAGACTGCGGGAAAACCAGGAGGATGTGCTGTTTTGGAAGCCAAAAGAAAAACGTGTTTCCAGGAGAAGAGGGTGAAAGCCATGTCTAATGAGGCTGACGGGTCAGACCAGACAGTGACTCAGAGCAACCACAGAGCAACCACGGGAAGCCTCGCCTGACCAGAGTTGATTCAGCAAAGAGTGCAAGGGCAGAAGGGGACGGAGAGGACAGGCAATTCATTCCAGAAGTTCTGCTGCAAAGGTTTTGGTGCAGAGATGTGGGGGAGACGCTGGCAGGGGGAATTAGATCAAAAGAGTTCCTTTTGTTCATTCCCATGATGAGAAAAGTAATAGCATTATATAGGCTGTTTAAAATAAAATTTTTAAAAAAGGCTATATGAGATGGAAAATCTGATGAAGGAAGAGAAAGCAACTGCTGGAGTGAAGGCTGAGTAACTGAGGGGAGATGGGTTCTAGGGTCCAGGCTTCAATAGGAGACAAGAACTGGGCACACATACAGGTAGGCAGATGGATGTGATGACTGGGGCTGAAAGAGGTTCCCTGCCTAGGCTCTGCCTGCATCTGTTTTCTCAATGAAATATGAACCCAGAGTTATGAACCCTGTGGTGGCACATGCCTATAGTCCCAGCTACATGGGAGACTGAGGCAGATGGATCATTTGACCCTAGGAGTTTTAAGCTGTAATGCACTATGATTACGCCTATGAACAGTCACCACACTCCAGACTGGGCAACATAGCGAGACCTCAAAGCCAAAAAAAAAAAAAAGAAAGAAAAGAAAGGAAAGGAAAGGAAAGGAAAGGAAGAAAGGAAGGAAAGGAAAGGAAGGAAAGAAAAGGAAGGAAATGAAAGGAAGGAAAGGAAGGAAAGAAAGGAAGGGAAGGAAGGGAAGGAAGAAAAGAAAGAAAAAGAAAAAGAAAGAAAGAAAGAAAGACAGAAAGAAAGACAGACAGAAGGGAAGGGAAGGGAAGGGAAAGGAGGGAAAGGGAGGGGAGGGGAAGGGAGAGGAGGGGAGGGGAGGGGAGGGGAAGCCAGGCCATCAGCTGAGAGAGTGAGCATGGAGAATGAGGTCCTGAACACTGGAGAAGGTATGAAACAGATCAGCAGAGTGAGTGAACTGGGAAGCATGGTGTAACGGCCTGCCAGTATCAAGGGTCTATTTGAGTTTGTGATCATGAATTTCATTTTTGTTGTTGTTGTTGTTTAGAGTCTCACTCCATCACCAGGCTGGAGTGCAGTGACGTGATCTTGGCTCACTGCAATCTCCACGTTCTGGGTTTAAGCAATTCTCATGCCTCAGCCTCCCTTGTATTGGAATTACAGGCAGGCAGCACCATACCCGGCTTTTTGTATTTTTTTTTGTGAGACGGGTTTCACCATGTTGGCTAGGCTGGTCTCGAACTCCTGACCTCAAGCGATCTACCCACCTTGGCTTCCCAAAGTGCTGGGATTACAGGCATGAGCCACCACGCCCAGCCATGTAATCATGAATTTGAAATGAGACAGACATTTCAAAAGTTTTCAATTAGTTCAAATGGTTTCAAACGGTTCTGAGTTTTTCTATAGCCTTATTCCAGTGCATGAGAGAGATTAGGTGGGGAATGGGATTTAACCAAGATCCTGGTTTAAATAAGCAAATAAGACAAAGTGACAGAGGTTCTCTCCAGGACAGATTCCAGCATTCCAGGTATGGCCTGACCAGGGTGAGGCAAAGAGCACTGTTGTCAGTACTGTGTCCAAGGAAAATCACATTTGGAATCCTGAACCCGTCAATCCTACCAGAAGACCATCAGAGCTTCTCAGAGACATACAGAGGAAACATTATAGGCAAGAGCATTCTTTATTACTAACAGGTGTTTTGGCTGAACCACATTAGGTCTAAACATTTATATATATATATCTATAGTCTACATTGATACCTATCAAGAAGTACAGGAACAAAACCTCTGCAAATACTTTTAATTGACACATGATTCTAGATCAAGAAGATAGATGATGTAGGTTGACTATCAAATTATTAGATAATATTATGATCAATGCAGGCCTCTTAGCACCCCCTTTACCCAACTAGAATCCTAAGTAATTATAAAATAATTATATGACAATAACACTATGCTTGATTTCAGAAAAGTTCACAGACAAAAGAGAGATATTTGCAAATACACAGTATGAAGAAATATTATCATTTCCCAACAAAGACAGTCCTGGATATCAAGGATCAGCTCATTTATTATAAAGAAATAAACTTTTACTTTTAATGAGATAGTTCTAAAACATCCTATCAGGTACTTTTATCCTCTGAAAAGTTAGAGAAAAAGTTATGTGCCAATGTAGAATGAAGACGAGGAAATCTGCAATTAGAGGTGTTCATTTTGACCATTATTTTAGTCTTGCATTTTCAGATTATTTTATCTTAAAACCATCAACCAAATTCATAAAATCAGCAGAACCACATTCAGTCTTAATCATCTTGTCATCAGAGATAATACCTAAACCTGTTTGGAAAAAAAAAAAAGATGCAAGTTATGGAAAGAAAAGCAATTGGTTTAACAGATTGCAATAAAAAAAAAAAGGCGATAACACAACACATTGCAATGGTATTTAAATTACTGCTTGGAGGATTTTAAAGAGCTGATGTCTGCTTCATTTTAATCTGTTCTGGAAACATGGCAACCATCAGCTTAACAAAAAGCTAAGAAGAATTACAAAAGAGTCCCAGGTATGAAGCTCGGGCTTACCTGATGCACCTATTGGGGAGGTAGCTGGGGTCATGTTGTGGACATTGAGACCAAGACTCTGAGAGGGTCCTGGGGCTGATGCCGCTATGGGAGGCCCCGGAGGGTTCTCCCTCTGGGGAGAGGTGAGTGGGGTGGTTGGCTGAGAGGTCTGTCCACCAGCAAGTCGTGCAAGGCGCCTCCGTCGAATCTACAACGTCAGGGGAAAAGAGCATTCTGTAACTAAACAGCAGAAACACAATTCTGCCAGAGAATGACATTATCCATAACCACACCAGAGCTTAACAACTAAATACGCCTTGAGCAAAAGTACTCTTCTGAGAGAATAACTCGCTCTACCACTATTCTTACAAGCTCTACCACTTGAGTTTTTAACAACTGGATCTTGGCCAGGTGCAGTGGTGCCTGCCTGTAGTCTCAGCTGCCTGGGAGGCTGAGGTGAGGGGAATCGCTTGAGCCTGGGAGTTCAAGACCAGCCTGAGCAAGGCAGCAATACCCCACCTCTAATTCATACACACATGAATACGTATATACATACAAACATAAATACATATATACTGTATGTTAGTTCGCTTACCATCTCTGTTTATCACACCTCCTTGGCCGATATGGTGACTTTACAGTAAGCATATTACACTTTATTTTAGAGAGAGTCTGATATGGTGACTTTACAGTAAGCATATTACACTTTATTTTAGAGAGAGTCTCTGTCATCCAAGCTGGAGTGCAGTATTTCAATCATAGCTCACTGCAGCCTTGAACTCCTGGGCTCAAGTAATCTTCCCACCTCAGCCTCCTAAGTATCTAAGACTACAGGTGCACACTACCATGCCCAGCTAATTAATTTCTTTAATTTTTGGCAGAGATGAGGTCTCACTATGTTGCCCAGGCTGGTCTCAACCTCCTGGCCCCAAGTGATCCTCCCACCTTGGCCTCCCAGAGTACTAGGATTATGAGCGTGAAGCACCATGTCCAGCCTATGCTTGTAACACACTAAACCTTGGTGTTATTTTAATAAAATGACCTAACTTGGTCATTTCAAATAGGTAAGATTTAAAAATAAATAGCCAATTGGCTGGGTGTGGTGGCTCACACCTGTAATCCCAGCACTGTGGGAGGCCGAGGCGGGAGGATCACGAGGTCAGGAGTTCGAGAACAGCCTGACCAACACGGTGAAATCCCATCTCTACTAAAAATACAAAAATTAGCCAGTTGTGGTGGTGCACGCCTGTATTCCAGCTACTCAGGAGGCTGAGGCAGGAGAATCGCTTGAACCCAGGAGGTGGAGTGCAGTTGCAGTGAGCTGAGATAGCATCACTGCACTCCAGCCTGGGCAACAGAGGGAGACTCCATCTATCTCCAAAATAAATAAATAATAGCCAATTTAATTCACTAAAACAATGAGAAACAAAAGTTACAGTAAGAAACAAATTTAACCATCACTTGCAGGAGCAAATGATCAGGTTTTCTTTTTTTATTTGATTCAATAAAAATATAATCTGCCACTTCTTCCTTTTAACATATAATTAAAAAGTAACACCTTATTGAAAGAGAGAAATAATCCATTCATTCAAAATGTATTTGTTGAACTCTTACTAACAGCAGGGCATCTCCAAAAGCTTCCTAATAGATTTACCCATGTCCCCTGAGCAAAAGCAGCCAGATGTAAAAAAAACATAGACTGTATAACCCCATTTCTATAAAATTTGAAAATAAGAAAAACTAAACTATACCATTAGTTTGGATAATGGTTATCCTTGGTGGGAAAGGGGCAGGAAGAAGCTTGGGAGAGGCAGGAGTGAACTTCTGGGGATCTGGTAATGGTGTTTTGTTGTTGTTATTTTTAACTAGCATCACAGGTATCTTCACTTTATGAAAACTCACTGGGTTGTATACTTACAACTATGAGTAATCAGTTCATGGGTATTCATCTTATTCTTCTTCATAATATACATGTTAAATACAGTCTTCTGTATAGAATGTAAATTTTTTTTTTTTTTTTTTTGAGATGGAGTTTCCCTCTCGTTGCCCAGGCTGGAGTACAATGGCACCATCTCGGCTCACTGCAACCTCTCCCTCCCAGGTTCACACAATTCTCCTGTCTCAGCCTCCCAAGTAGCTGGGACTACAGGCATGCGCCATCACACCCACCTAATTTTTAATTTTTTTGTAGACATGTCATCTCACCATGTTGCCCAGGCTGGTCTCAAATTCCTGGGTTCAAACAATCCTCCCACCTCAGCACCCCCAAAGCGCTGTGATTACAAGTGTGAGCCATCGTGCCGGGCCAAGTTTCATTATCTTACAGACAGTTAAATTTAGGAGTTCATGCTTGATTTCTAATTCAAATTCAACCTTTATTATTGACTACTTTACTTATCTGGAGCCTATCCGGATAAGTCACTTAATGGCTCTGTGCTTCAGTTTCTGCCCAATGGACGACTGTACACTGCACATTTGCACAACGGGGATGAAATCATTGACTGAGGGGAGTCCGAGGTGGTGGGTCATTTGAGGTCAGGAGTTCAAGACCAGACTGGCCAACACGGCAAAACCCTGTCTTTACTAAAAATACAAAGATCAGTTGGGCATAGTGGCACACGCCTGTAATCCCAGTTACTTCGGAGGCTGAGGCAGGAGAATTGCTTGAACCTGGGAGGTGGTCATTGCAGTGAGCCGATATCACACCACTGCACTCCAGCCTGGGCGATGAAGTGAGACTCTGTCTTAAAAAAATTAGAAAAAAACCAGGGTCTTCCTCATAGGGTTGTGAGAAAACCACCACCCTGTCCCTTTCCCTACTTATTTTTTCACCGTGGCTGTGATCTGCCCTATGACATGTGTGATATAGTTGTGTATTGCTTAGTTTCTATCCCCCTACTTGAAGTTTCTTAAAGGCAAGGACTTCTGTTGCACCAGTGCCTAGAACAGTGGTAGGCACATGACACATGGTAGGTGCGCTCTAAATATTTGCTGAATAAATGAAAAATACTAGAAAAATGCACTGAACATAAAATTGACTAATTTATTAGTTGACATTATCATTATCATTGGAAGAGCATACCTACTATTGTTGGAAAAAATATGAAGTCACCTTAAACCTCAGTGCCAAGTTCAGCCCAAGATGTTAAATTTGGATGTTCTGCTCAGTGACATAAACAGAGAATAAATGTTCTGACTCACTGTAATACAGGGTTGAAGAAAGAAAGGATTCTAAGGTTTCAAAAAAGGTTGAAGAATCCAGACTTTGTGAAGCATGTTGCAGACTATTAAGCAGGAAGAAAGAGTTAAGAGACAGAGGCAGGTCCATACATGACATAAGGGGTAGGAGAAGATTGGGAGAATACATCCTGCCCCATCTTAAAGATCTGCTGGAAAATTTAGGAAGTGCCATTCAGGGGGCAGCATTCTGGGGTGCCCACATCAGGGCTCTCAGTAGAGGATGACGCCCTTCGGTGGTCTGACTGCCTTCTACACTGGTGGCAGCTTTGAACTGGGTTAGCAACCTGGGAATATCTGGATTGGGGACTCACAAGAGAATGGCTTTGTGCAATCACAGGTATAAAGGTTTACCTCCAGCCTGGGCAACATGGAGAAACACCGGCTCTGATCTGCCCTATGACATGTGTGATATTTTAGTAAAAAATACAAAAACTGGCCAGGTGCAGTGGCTCACGCCTGTAATTCCAGCACTTTGGGAGGCCAAGGCAGGCAGATGGCCTGAGGTCAGGAATTCGAGACCAGCCTGACTAACAGGGTGAAACTCCATCTCTACAAAAAATACCAAAAATTAGCCGGGTATGGTGGCATGCCTCTGTAATCCCAGCTACTCAGGAGGTTGAGGCAGGAGAAACACTTGAACCCAAGAGGCGGAGGTCACAGTGAGCCGAGATCGCACCACTGCACTCCAGCCTGGACAACAGAGCGAGACTCCCTCGCAAAAAAAGAAAAAAGAAAAAAAAAAACTGTGCCAGGTACAGTGGCTCATGCTTGTAATCCCAGCATTTTGGGAGGCCAAGGTAGGTGGGATCACTTCAGGTCAGGAGTTAGAGACCAGCCCAGGAGGCGGAGGTTGCAGTGAGCCAAGATTGCGCCACTGCACTCCAACCTGGACAACAGAGCAAGACTCCGTCTTTAAAAAAAAAAAAAAAAAAACCGGCCAGGAGCGGTGGCTCTTGCCTGTAATCCCAGCACTTTGGGAGGCTAAGGCAGTCGGATCACGAGTTCAGGAGATCAAGACCATCCTGGCTAACACGGTGAAACCCTGTCTACTAAAAATACAAAAAAATTAGCCGGGTGTGGTGGCGAGCGCCTGTAGTCCGAGCTACTTGGAGGCTGAGGCAGGAGAATGGCATGAACCCAAGAGGCGGAGCTTGCAGTGAGCTGAGATCACGCCAAGCCTGGGCCACAGAGCCAGACTCCGTCTCAACAACAACAACAAAAAAACTGAGGTGGAGGCTGGGGAGGTCAAGGCTGCAGAGAGCCATAAACTCCAGTCTGTGTGACCTGGTGAGAGCTGGGTCTCAAAAAAAAAAAAAAAAAAAGTGTATCTAATTAATTTGACTACTAAGAGATGCAACCTCACTTTTTATCACAAACAGAACACATAAGATACACACCAAAAATAGTCACAACACACCAAAATATGATTAAACATTTTTCTCATTGTTTACTTGACTTTTTTAACATTAAGCCCAGAGGACTGGCATAATCTCCTTTAAGTTAAACAAAAGTCCTTTTTAAGAGAATTTTGTTTTCCCATTATCTCACAGAGAAAAAAACAAAAGTATAAAAAAAAAAAACTTCCAATTCCTCAATTTGTGTCCTAAACCACAACTCAAAAGCCACACATAATAATTATGAAATCTCATTCCTAGAGTTTTTCTTGTCTGTTTCAGTTCTTATTTCACAAATGACATTAAAATAGGGCTTTCTCCTAATCTGTTATATCATGATGCAGCACTTCCTACCCTCACGTTCCTGATGAACTAAAAATAGATGCAAAACAGTGAAGGCCATTGTGATTTCAGGCAGAAGCTAAGTCAGGATGGGCCAAACTGTTCCTCTTAGTTTTAGCAGTTTGTGGGGAAAAACACCCATAAAACACTGTTATAAGTTTAACAGTCATTCTACAAAAGCGTCTTACTTTTCTAAATTAAAAAAAAAAGTGAATTCCAATATAAAGAAAAA